TTTTTCATTGATTAAACAATTCTAGAGTTTATATTTTCTCTTTATGAATTAGTTTTGAGTTCGACTTAACTTTTATTAAGTTTTTCATGAAATTAATCATGTTTCCTCCATTGAAAAATTGGTTTGAGTTTCAATTTCAAATAAATTATTGGTGTGATTCAATTACTGTTATATGTTATAAATATATAGTTATTTTTTGAATCTGATTTTAATAAACAAAAGCGGAAATTTGATCTAGGAAATCTAAATTCTAGAATTACAAGTGGAATTAAATTGATTTGAATTGCTAAATCCTCCGATTAGAGACTTTTGATAAAAACTTCTAATTAAGTAGAAAATGCATAAATTATTGATGTTGATTTATCCAACCCAATTGAGGGAATTCCAACGCTTCACTATTCTACATTTTGATTTTAATCCCATTATTTCATCCATTGATTTTTATATTTTAATTCAATAAGCAAATTCTTTTCGATCAATTTACTAGAATCCTAAATTATTGAATTCCCCGATTCATTCATCAATCTTCCCGTAGATACGACACCCTAAAACTGCACTACTATTACCGCATTATTCTTTGTGCGTAATCATTCCTTGCGAGTTTTCAACTTTGATATCATTTTACAATAATTTAATACTGAAAGCAAAAGCAAGTTAAGCCCAAATCAAGTATCAAGTAAAATCAAGTCAGTTACTCTCAATTAAGTTCACCAAGCTCTAATAATCTAATCTCATTCCCTGAGCAATTCAAAACTTCCAATTACTGGAAGCAATTCAGAATAATAGAATCACAAATACTGGAGCAAAAACAAAGTAATTCACAGCACAATTCATACAACAATACTAGAATCAATTCACATCAAATCACTATGCAATTCACAGAATGCTTTTACAAATCACAGAGACAAAAATATTGGAACTAGAAGCTAAAGTAACTCAAGAGCAATGAGTAGGCTTCGGGCTCAAGTTAGTCTTCACTGGCTTCTAGGTCAAATTTCAAGAACAATTCAAAAGCGATTCAAGAGCAATTCAAAGAGCTGATTTCATACGATAAAAAGAAAAATTTCAAACATTACACAAACCAAAATAACAAATAAAAAGAAAAGAAAAACGAGTAGGCTTCGGGGGCTTCACCTTCGTCTTCTACTGTACTGTCGTCAAATCACAGTGGAAATGTGGAATCAAAGGCGTCTACTGTGTTTGCCTACTGTCGCCCAGGGCTTGAAAATAGGGGTGTAGCTGCAATAGATTCCGAGATTGGAGGAAGGAGGTGTCGGGTGAGACTTTGTGAGAGGTTGAAAAGTTGATTGGAGAAGCGAAATGGCGGAGATCGAGAAGTTCGACTATGCAATGTCATCCATCTGTGTCCAATCATCCTAGAGCTAGCTGTGTCCAATCATCCTAGGTGCGGAACATCATGGAGATGGTATAGGCATCTCTTTTCCATCACATTCTCATCAGAACCAATTTGTTTGCCATAGCAATCTTCATCCTTCCTTCTTCTGCCCCCTTTTTCAATTTTTCTCGATTTCTTGTTTCAGGCTTGTTTATCTCAAAATCCCAACAAATTCAATTCCACTGTGAATTGTGGAAATCTCGGGTATACAATTAATGATATCCCCCTTTTCTTCTTCTTCTCCAAGAAGGGGGTTTTCTGTAAATTTTGTTGATACCTCTTTCTGCTTTGGCTCCCGTATGGAAGGCTGGTACTATCGCTGCCAGATTTTAATCCCTGAATAAAAAAACCTTCAATTCAATTTTGCAATTCGGCTTCTTCTTTTTGTCTGTTTTATTTGAATTCATTAATCCCTCCTCTTTTTGGGTATTTATTTTTCGCTTTTCGAATAAAGGAAAAAAATAATTGGAGAAAAAAATCGAAATTTAAAAGATGTTGCTTTCCAAGCAGAAGAAGAATCAAGTCGGGAAGGGTAACCATTTTCCCATCAACATTATGGTGCTAGGGAGCGCCGGTCCGATTCGATTTGTGGTGAACGATGAGGAGCTTGTTACTGCTGTAATTGATACAGACTTGAATTCGTATGCCCGCGAGGGAAGGCTGCTCGTTCTGGGGTCGGATTTCAATAATTTAGTGCTCTATTGTCCTCTTGCCAAGATTGACGGTAAGGGCGAAGGCGACGAAGCAGAGGCTCGAGGAGAATGAATTGAAATGGAGGCTACAAGTTTGATGTTTTGAATTAAATGGATTGGGCTGGATAGTGGTCTTGGGCCGTTTACATTAATGTAGTGTGTATTGATAATAGTTTTAAGCTTTACTTTTAGGCTGGAAGTTGACATATTAATAAAAAAATAAATTACAGGCCATGAGGTTGGGCCCAGAAGCTGGACCTCATTGGGCTCCGCCCCCTGGTTCAATGTATATATGACATGATGGCATTGAAGCGTACGTCCTAAGACATGGTGGTTTGAATTATTGAACATATCAACCTACTTTCATGCGTATCTGTGGTTTCAGATATCACCAGGAACTCTGTAAAACTTATAGAGATGACTTTTTCTTAGGTAAAGTTATTTAGATATTCTATGTTGTCAGTGTGGGCATGTGCCCACACTGGTTCTCATTGGGCTCCGCCCCCTGGTTCAATGTATGCCCACATTGGACCTCATTGGGCTCCGCCCCCTGGTTCAATGTATATACGACATGATGGCATTGAAACGTACGTCCTAAGACATGGTGGTTTGAATTATTGAACATATCAACCTATTTTCATGTGTATCTGTGGTTTCAGATATCACTAGGAACTCTGTAAAACTTATAGAGATGACTTTTTCTTAGGTAAAGTTATTTAGATATTCTATGTTGAGTTGAAGTTTGGTTCAATTTTAGATTTTTGTGCATGAATTGTAATGGGATAGTGTTTCCTAATCATTTTCTCCACAAAAGTTTAGATAATGACATAAATTTGTTTGAATCTCTTTTTTTTCTTTTTGATTTAAGATCTCAAAATTCGTGACGAACGTGAAATTATGAGAAGAGGAAACATCAAAGATACGTAGGAGGTTTTTTTTGGTAAGTTGATTTGAATATTGTTAGATAGTATTAAAGAATAGACGACTGTGTCCACTAAATATAGAGAACATAAAAAAAAAAAAAAAATGAAAAGATGCAAACAAAAAACACCGTGTGTATATGCAAAAGGTACAAAAAGTAGGAGGGCATGAAAATATATAATTATAAACTTTTCATTCTTTAGTGATAGAAATTTATTTTTGGAGCTGTGAAAAAGAAAGCAACATTCTTAAATATTTTTTTATTGACAAAATAAAATGACCCTACCCCACTTTCCACCAACTTTTATTCCATTTGATTTTTTCTTGCTTCCTTCACTTTCTAATTTGACCTTGTATTATAACCACTTCATTTAATAATCAATTAATCATACACCAAAACAAGGTCATTTTCAGGGAGAACCAGAAGGAATTTCA